CGATGAACAGGTGCAATTCAATGAACTACAAGCACAAGATGATAATGAACAAGAGCAAATTAATGAACAAGCACAAGTCAATGAACTACAAGCACAAGTGTGTGGGCAAGCACAAAGCAGGCAAGCACAAAGCAGACAAGCACAAAGTAGGCAAGCACAAAGCAGACAAACACAAAGTGGGCAAGCACAAAGTGGGCAAGCACAAAGCAGGCAAGCACAAAATTGGCAAGCACAAGGCAGGCAAGCATATGATGGGCAAGCACAAGGTGGGCAAATGCATGGTGGGCAAGCACAAAGTGGGCAAGCACAAGGTAGGCAAGCACAAAGCAGTCAAGCACAAGGTGAGCAAGTGAATGGCAGGCAAGAACAAGGTAGGCAAGCACAAAGTGGGCAAGCACAAGGTGGACAAGCAAATGGCAGGCAAGAACAAGATAGGCAAGTGAATGGCAGGCAAGCACATGATGGGCAAGCACAAGTCAATAGACAAATTAATGAACAAATTAGCATTATTAAAATTTATTATATAGTATTATATAATATTCATATTATGAAATATATATTGAAAATTAATTTTGATTTAGAAAAATGAGTCTGCAAATAATGTATTGAAACCTCTATTGACATTATCAAAAAGGCCATGTAGGTCAAAAGTATCAAAAAAAAACAGAAGTTGTCAAGGTTCTAATTACTCCTAATAGGACAGAAGATAGCTCAGTTGAAGCCTACGAACCAATAGGTCAAATTTTAGTCGATTTATTTAATATTGCAAAACAAGCTAAAAAGCAATTAAAAAAATCTAATTCAATAGAAATTAGGAAATGGTATGATTATGCTAAAGCTTTCAAGAATCGAGTAAGAGAATTAATAAGTAAGAGCGTAAAGGATAGAGCAGCTCGTACACAAATATACAACACAATGTTACCTTATATGAGTCATCAAATAACAATAGGCAATCTTCGTCAGATAGCACATAAGGCACGAAATATATTTAATATATTTAGTGAAGTTGGCATTGGAGCAATTGACCAAGCTAGATGTTTTACGACCAATCATCTTTCAGAATACAGCAATGATGATATTAAAAGAATTGTTGAATATGTAAAGTGTAGAAGGGTTAGTTAAACCATGTAATCAACATTAATATATAATCAACATTAATATATATTTTATATAATTGCAATTAAATAAATTGAATTGAATTGGCATAACAAATAATCAGTAATAAATTAAAGTAATAGATTAAAGTAATAGATAATAAGTAATAATAATATCCTGGCTTATCAGGGATTAGTAGGTTTTTTCCTAGATTGCGTTATAGCTATTATCATAAATTCTGGGACATCTGCTCATTACCTAAAATCTTTTTGGTCGCTGGGTAAATTACTTAACTCTTCAGTCCAGATGTAGTAATTTTCAGAGTTAGGTAAATTACTGAACAATTAAAAAGATTTCAGGTAATGAGCAGATGTTCCAGAATTTATAATAATAGATGTAATGATAATTCATATTGCTACTGATTAGCTATATAAGCAGCAATCAAGTAGCAATATAAATTATTATTAACACAATCTAGGAAAAAACCTCAATAAGCCAGAATATTATTAATTGTCACAGATGAGTGTTTGTAGTCGATCCAAATTTATCAACTCGACTTAGCTGATATTTAAAAATCGGCTTAGCCGGCTAAGTTAGAGTCAATAATCCTAATTGGTTAATTAAAGGCATGTGATCTTAGAACTGTTTTCATCCAGTAAAAAAATTAGCCAAATGATTGTCAATTGTTGATAATTTTTTTATTTCAGTATTATCAGATTACTGTAATGCCAAAAATACTGTGATTTGGCCTAAACTTGATTAGTTACTGTAATTTTTAATATAACCTATTATAAAATTGTCTCAACTAAGTCGATTTTTTGAAAACTCGGCTTAGCAGACTAAGGTCAATTTTTTTAAAAAAATCAGCTGACTAAGCTAGCTAAGCCAATTTTATCAACTAATACAAAATCAACTACAAACACTAAAGATCATTAAGTGACTTAACGATTAATACATGTATATAGATCATATCTAACTAGTTGATTTATCTTTATTAATAGTAAATTAGCGTTTGTAGTCTATTTTGCATTAGTCGATAAAATCAGCTTAGCTGGCTTAGTTAGCTGATTTTTTTAAAAAAATCGACCTTAGCCTGCTAAGCCGAGTTTTTAAAAAATCAATTTAGTCGACTTTATATTGATTATAATAAAAAAAATATCTAAAACTTCCAAAGATTAATCAACTCCGACATAGCCGGCTAAGCTGATTTTTAAACATCGACTTAGTCAAGTCGATAAATTTGATCAACTACAAACACTACCGATCTTTCATGGTTTATATATATTTACTGATTATTAAGTAATAATTTTTAAATGTATATGAACCATAAAAGACTGTTAAGTGACTTAACGATCTTTTTAATCTTTTAATGATTCATTAAAAGACCATTAAGTGACTTAATGATCTTTTTTAATCTTTTAATGATTCATTAAAAGACTGTTAAGTGACCTAACAATCTTTTCAATCTTTTCAAGATTCATTAAGTGACTTAACGATCTTTTAATAATTCATTAAAAGATTGAAAAAGATCGTTAAATCACTTAACAGTCTTTTAATAATTTATTAAAAGATTAAAAAAGATCATTAAGTCACTTAACGGTCTTTTTCAATTTGCTGATAAATCATTAAAAATGAATATGTGTTGGTATTTGACGAATTTGGTTCTAAAAGAAATAAATATAATAGAACATGTGCAAATTGTGAAAGTTCTTATGTCCAGAAAATTCTGAGCTGTTGGCCAAAAAAATATGGATCATAGTATCTCAAAAATTCACTATATATCTAACATTAACAATTGTGTTTTATAAGTAAAATTTCATTCTAAAATCTTTTATTTAGTGGTCAGAAGTTAGATATTATAGTAAAATTTTGTGTTATTTACATTTTTTTACAATTTCTTATGTTTTTCACATTTGTTTTATTACATAAGATCATATGATTTTATTGGATCTAGATAGGGTCGGAAGTGATCTTCAGTCTGGGATTTCCTTGACATAAGGGCATCCGCAAATTGCGAATACCCTTATGTTCAGAAAATCCCAAGCTAAAGACCACTTCCGACCCTATCTGGATCCAATAAAATCACAGAATCTTGTGTAATAAAACAAATGTGAAAAACATAAGAAATTGTAAAAAAATGTAAATAACACAAAATTTTACTATGATATCTAACTTCTGACCACTAAATAAAAGTTTTCAGAATGAAATTTTACTTATAAAACACAATTGTTAATATTAAATATATAGTGAATTTTTGAAATACTATGATCTATATTCTTTTGGCCAGCAGCTCAGAATTTTCTGAACATAAAGATATTCACAAATTGCAAGCAATATAACACATCTTATGCTAGGTGTCAAACATGTACCTTCAGAATAGTATTCCAAGTTGGTAAAAATTTTGCCAATCAACTAGTTGCCAACTATAGTTGCAACTAATCAACTTTTATATCATGTGACTAA